CGGTTTTCTATACCCCGTTCACCACCTAAGAGTGGCACTGCCAGATACCAATTGAGCCCTCATTGTATTGAGCCCTCAGTCCCGTATGAATATGCCCTCCTCTTGCGCAACCAAGAACACCAACTTTCCTTCACTTGAACCTAATGAGATAGTTAGATAGCCGCAGAGTCCTGAGGTTTGCAGACACTCTATTGCGTCTCAGTTTGTGCTGGTGAAGCCCGCTTTTCGCACATAATCTTTCCCTTCCATAATCTTTCCCTTCAAAGCAAACGCTCCTTTCACCTGTGCAGTTTGCTGAGGAGCAGGAGTTCTTCAAAGAAGCAGCCCTACTGAGTGAGAAAGAGCGGCAACGAGTGAGTACTTCCCTTTTCATTGTTGAGAATTTGTGAGCTGGGTGAAGCATTTGTGTTCCAAACGCATAGTGCATTCTCCCGAAGGTCAAGGGGAGAAAAGCACTCACAAAAGCTTCATACTCTTGTTCCTTCTTTCATTCGTCTCGTCATATGCAAACGGCCCAGGCAGTAAGCTCCCTGTTTTGCAACCTAAATACAGGCTTTCGCAGTACCGAGTTCTAACTTCCAACTTCTAAACTCCAACTTTGAGGCTCCAACTTCTAATCCTACTCAGTTTAGATTGAGCTAGCCCAAGGCAACTTCTGGCTTCTCAGTTTTGATCCAAGTTCCAACCACTGATCTAGTCAGCTTGAGCTGCCCCAAGTCAGCTTCTTTCTTCCAACTTTCGCTCCAATTTCTGATCTCTGATGTGTTCAGATTGAGCTAGCCCAAGCTGTGAGCTTCATGTACCAGCGTCCCCCCGGTTACAACCCTGAGGTCGATGTCAAGAAGCCTGCAAAGCCAGACGAGAAAGCCGAGGAGACCAAGAAGCCCCGGGTGAAGGACGTCTTTGGCAGGAGCATCGCCACTGGGGAGGAGTTTGAGGCGCTCAAAGACGCACCAAGGTAGGTTTTCGACGACGTAAAAGGTTCATCTTAAAATGAGAGTACTGTTTCTATCTGGTTGCTTGGCAGCCCACCCGATACAAGGAGCCAGCTGATTGTATGGCTACCATATCATCTTCGATAGGAGTCTCCTGGGCGAGTATAATGTTAATGGCAGCAGATTTGGGGTGCTGCTAAGGAGAGCACTGACTCATTTGGTCCGGTCAATGCTTGGTCCTCCGTTTGTGGGGATGGAGCCGAAACGCTTCGCTTTGCAAGACGCAGGGTCGTCCAGTGATCCGTATTGTGGTCAGTCCCCTTTCTGGGCAGCAAAATGAAACAGCAAGTGTGCTTGGTTTCTTTTCATGCTTCCCAGCAGACTCTCAAGCGATCCTTGTTTTGGAGGCCCAAAACTGTGATTGCTTCCTTTTCAAGGCACCCGATAAATGGAAACGACCTTTGAAAAGCAGTGGTCAATGATTTGTTTGCTAGCCCTGCTGTCCGATAAGTCTTTTAGCGGCTTACACACGACGAAGTTCCAACCATTTTCTCTGTCGATTATGGCCGGCCTTGGTTCTCTGCTCCATCCTCATGCAGAGAGACTGGAGTGAAGTACGGGACGACGCCCTTTGCTTGATGTAATTTGCAGGGCTGAGGAGTGGGTCCTTCATTGCGGGGTTTTGTTGTGTCCTCTGGAAGTTCGATTAATTTCTGAACTCTAACGTGGGAGCAACTTGATGCAAGCGCAAGCTGAGCTGACTTTATGGGCGAGGCAAACCCCTTGTGTTCTCGAAACATCAGGTGACCATGTGCTTAACACTTGGACACAGTAGGGTGTCCGAAAACCTAACCCCACTGGTCGAAATTAGTACCGGCCTAAGTTGGTCTTCAGAGACTGGAATGCCCAAATCCATTTTCGAGCCTCGACCCTTTTCTCGTTTCCTACCTCACGCTTGAGACCTCAGAAGGGAGAGGTTGCACCGTTCGCGTTTCGGGCTCACGTGCTTGGCTGCCCAACATTTGCACACCATTTCCATCGTTGTCACTTGTAAAAACGAGGAACGAACATTTAACAGCAGTAGATGCGCTTAACCCTTTCTCATCCCACTGATACCTCCTTTCCTGCCACAGGCTCGAGACCGGGATTGTGGGCAAAGCAAAGCCATTTGCGGTCGAGATCCGAAACGTCAAATGTGCACGGTGCGGCGCATTCGGACACCAGAGCGGCGACCGAGACTGTCCGTTGAGGGACGTGCTTATGCCAGGGGAGGAGGAGAGGCAGAGGAGGGAAGACCCACTGCAAGCGATTCTTGCCTCCGTCCCACAGGAAGCGGTGAGCATAGCTTACCACAGCTGCCATAAGCTATAGCAGGATTCGTTGTTTCAGAGTTTGAAACTATGAGGGAAAGGGGACTGCAGGCGGCTTTTGCTTTCTACACCTTTTCACAGAGACTCTCGTCGAGTCCCTATCATCTCTCCATCTTGCAAGCTGTCCTGGACATCGTAAGAGTTGTCCCATCTCATCAGGGGTACTGGTTTCTCTGCTTCGCTTCTGAAGAAATATCACTGTTCTGGTCCATGGTTGAATGCAATGGTCGATCTTGTCATTGGAACCGCAGCCAGACGGATCTGCTTTTTAACAGATAAGGGGTGGGGTCTCAACGTTCTTGCAAAAGGGTAGGATAGCTGAGCTGAAGATGGACGGGCGACTGCAAGGTTTGGCTCTCTGCTGTTCATGCTTCGCCCATCTCTCGGTGGTCAAGACCCCTGAGGTTACGCAGAGCATGGACAAAAGATGACGAAGTCACAATCGTTGCGAGGGGAGTCCTTGTTTTGCGAGAGACCTTGAAAGGGATCATGCTAACGCAAGAGGTTTGAGAAACGACAAAAGAAGCTGACGTCAGGGTCTCAAACCTGCAGCCCAAGTGGACTCTCAAGGACGGGGGTCGCAGCCCACCCCGCGGGGGGTTTGCTTCCACTGCTGAGAATCAGCAGATCCTGCCCCCCGATGAGCTGGAGCTGCAATTGACCGTGCAAGCGGGTACGAAACACTTGTATTTCTGCCCCGTTGTTTGCTACTACTTAGGCCTCCTTAAAGAGCTGTTAGAAGGTGGCGGTCAAGGGCTTCTGCCTCAATCTCCTTGTTCGACGAAAGCGGGGAGATGCTTTTAATGGAAAGACGAAGGGTGACTCGGCGTCACAAGTTGGTACGAATGTATGAGCAACCGCCGTTGTTACTGAATTGGGACAGAATTTTGCTGGCGCTGTTGACGTGGCGAACGTATGAGATGGAGCTGGATGTCTGCCCAGAGGCTTGGAAAGCAACGCTAAGATACTGTCTGCTGTTCGTTTGACACGCACTGGATTGCCCATTGTGTAGTTGAAGTTGGAAATGAGCAAGTCTATGTCATGTATATAGGCATATATGTACATCTGAAAAAAAGTCGATCAAATGAAGCATTCGGGCTGAATATGGATCGACCCGGATGCGTTTTAGTTTTTGTAGCAGGTGGGTCTGAACCCGGTTAGTAGCTGGGTAACAGTTGGATTTCATTAGCCCCGGGAAGCATAATTCCTGAAAGCCTTCGAAGTGTCAAAGACTTAGAAGGCGTCGCTCGAATCTGCAGATGCCGGTGCGATAATGATGCAACCCATCGACGAAGGCATTCTGGCCCAACTGTCAAAAAGCGAGCGGAAAGCTCTTCTGCGAGCTTATAACAAGCCCAACGGCTCGGAGTACAAAGAGGAGAAGGAGAAAAAGAGGCGCAAGAAACACCGACGGAAGAAGAGCGAGTCAAGCAGTAGCAGTGAGGAAGAGACGGAAGGTTCTAGGGAGAAAAGAAAACGCCACTCGAAACGAAGGCGAAGAAAAAGGGAGAGTGACAGCGGGAGTGAGGGGAGTGACGAGGCGGAAGAAAGGACTACAAGCCGACGGCATAGAAAGAAGGGGGCCAGGAGTGATAGTGATGGGGATCGGACTTTGTCACGCGGCCGGGAGCATAAGAGCTTAAATCGGAAAGAAAGAGACGCTAGAAGCGGAGGGAAAGTGCGGCAGCATGATGGGCGGGAAGCGCAGGGGAAGGATGAGGGAGGCAGGCATAAGAAAGAGACATTTGAGGACGGGCCATAACAAAGTGCCCAGGAGAGGGCTCAGATTGTTGGTCTCTTTGGGGAAGGGGAAGATGAAGCGTTGGAAGGAGGAACCGACAAGGATGAGTATAAGATGGATGTATGTTATTCATGGTGGGAAAGAAGAGTTGGGGGGACCGCAGGGTAGACGAGGACGTTGGAACAGAGAGAATACACCAACGGTTCAGACAGCACTTGAGGGGCTGAAACGAACAATGGCCACAAAGCCAATGGCCATGTTGCTGGTGTTCCTGACTTCTTATCTGTTGCTCACGTCTATTCAAAAGAAAGTCGCTACGTTTTTCGAAAGGCCGATGGGGTCACTGAAAACAACGGGTGTTCTTACTTGTACATTCATGCTGAACCGGGTTTCCGTTGTGGGTTACTCAGAGAAGTTTAGCCTAAGTAAGTACTTAGTCCAACACCATAAATCATAGACACAGTGGGCTGCGTACCCTGCATGCATCCACTCAGTGGCATGGATGGTCATGCACGCTTGCTAGTTCATCACATCCAGGCATATCGGATCTGCTCTACAATGAATGAAGTTCAAGAAATATTGCCCCCAATTATTCAAAGCAGGCAATAAGCGGGAGCATAGACATCAAAAAGCTGGAGCACATTTGAGAAAGGGAGTTGTAAAGCCGCAGATGATGATATCATTTACAAGACCCGACCGTTTGACCGGTACGGGGATACAGAGCCAGTGTTAGTACGCCCCAAGCCAGAGACAGGCTCCAGGTAACTTGGGACGGTGTTCAAGCAAGTCTGATACAACGCAGTCCAGGTAGACTTGACAGTCTTGAGATCTGAAAGCTCTAGCTATGAGGCCACATAGGATTATGAAGTGTTGTTTGGATTTGCTCACAAAACTTGGTCGAGAAATGTATAGTCTAGATGATGTAGGTGGTGGACGAAGGCACAACAGTGCAAGATGCAAATTCGGTTCAGCGGTTTCGGTGACACTAGCAAAGACGATCTCAATTTTTTGGACGCGTACGCGTTTAAACGCGTGCACAAAATATACCGGATTAAAGATTCCAACCTCTCGGACGGCTAAGAGGGCATATGCTGTTGCCTTTTGGGGCCTTGCAGGAAGATCGCCCATTCTGGTGTGAGGGTCGAGGGCGCTACGCTTTGGTCTTCGCTGGATTTATCACAGCAGCAACACTGTAGCACCTGTACAGCTCACGACGCAAGAGGTCATGATTTCTTGCTGCTGTCATCCAGCACCCTAAGGATGGGGTGCAAGCCAGACAAAAGGTTGCGGCAAGCACATCGAGCTCGGGGCACAGTATCGCTCTTTGTTCTCCTCTGCTGCTGGAATGCCAGGGTCTACGGACAGACTCAGGATGAAGCCGTAAACAGTCTCCCAGCAAAAGTGAACCTGCGAGGGGCAGGAAGCCTAACCCTAGAACCAGCCCTGAAAGCAGATGCGCGGAACACTTTGTCAAGGGAAGATGCTGATCCCAGCAGGGGAGAGACCGCCGGCGGAGCGGTCCTCCAGTCTACTGAGGCGTTTTCAGCAGAGGCATCGTCAATCGTCAATCCTGCAAAGGCCCCCCCTTTGAGGCCCCATGTGGCCCCCGTGACAGTAGCGTTCTTGACCATTCTCATGGCTCTTGCGACAGGCCTTGGATCAGTCCCTTTCTTTTTCCTGGACATGAAGGGGAGGGGCTATGGAGGCATTTGCAATGGGATGGCCTGTGGGGTAATGCTGGCAGCCAGCTTTGGACTGCTGCATGAGGGGGAATCATATGGAGGGGCAGAATGCGTGGTCCTGGGAGTCCTTTTGGGTGGACTGTTCATTCTAGGCAGTCAGAAGGTATGTACTGAGATTCTTTTGGGATTGGATCCTGCTTTCCTGTTCTTACATTTACCAGCTGGAGCGGGTGAGTTTATTTACGAATTGGTCTATCTCATTTGCAGTGCAACCTGCACATTCGCACTCTCTGCTAGGGTTAGGAGGATTTTAAACTGAGAAGGTTAAGATAGATTTTGGCCAATTACCTGCAGATTCGACGCTGAGATTGCAAAGACCTGAAGTTCATGAGAGCAACCAGATACAGCCATGCAATTGGAAACTTCAAAAGCAAATTTCGAAACTTTAATCACAGAGTCATCAAAGAAACAACCCCAAAGCTTTAGGCAGGACAGTGCACGGTGGACGAGCTTGTGAGTTGCCTCTTGAATTCTGGCTGCTGCCTTACTTTTATGCAGCAATTAGTCAGCATTTTGTCAGCTTTATAGGGAGGGTAAAATGGGGACCAACTCCATGCATGTTGCCATCTCTCTTGATTCCCAGCCCTTTGACCTGAAGGAAACTTGCACCTGAAATGTGTGTGGATTGTCGACGTAACCCTCTTTGTGACAGAATGATTCAGTTGCGTCAGAGTGGGGTGGGTAGATGTTGGAGTACCTTGTGGTGTAGCTTCTTCGGCTTTGCGCAGGTAGTTGGGACCTTGGGAGTCCCACGCTTTAGCTTTTTGTTTAAATCTGACAAGATAAACATTGGTTGAGCGGTGGCATCATTGACGGAATGAGGGGGAAGCGGATGCCATGGGGCATTCAAATTGAATTGAAATTTTATTGTATGATGCTGCAAAATCTGCATAGCACTCCAGCTGGAGTACTTTAAGGGCCATATAAATTCTTGCTCCTTGCATTGCAATTCTGGTTTCGTGCAAATATTCGAAGGTTTGCTAGGCACTTGTGCACGATGTATTCCCACAGCTGGGGGGCAAGGCCAGCGTGTCTGGTCTGCTCTAGAGAGTGTGCAGACCTGATCAGCAGGTCAGGTCGTCAGAGCGTTTCATTGACACCCTGACATGGGACTCGCAGTCGAACAATGGGCTCCTTCTTTATCTGACAAGGCAGCCGCAGCTAACTTTGATCCCATAGGTCCCCGGTTTGGGCATTCTTAGCAGCATTTCTCTTCAAGGACAATCACGAGCAGAACTTTGTTTCAGAGCACGACTTCCTGTCGAGTATCTGGGTAGCAAGTGTAATATTCGACTCCGAATTGCGTTTTAAGCTCAATTCGAAAGGGAAGTTCCTCTAAAGGCGCGTGTCCTTCTGATCTTAGAGCTTGCGCAACTCCCTGCAGTACATGGCCCAGTTTGGGGAGGTCAAGCTGATGTCTCTGGAAGGTGTGAATGCGCACAAGGCTGTACTCATCGTAGCCATAATGACTCTGCATGCGTTCGGGGAGGGGGCGGGAGTCGGGGTTTCATTCGCTGGGCCCCGGGGGCTGCCGCAGGGTCTCTTGGTGACAATTGCAATTGCGGTGAGTTCGCTTACAACAAAAGCACCTTTGAGTGTTCTCAAGGTCCAGCTGCATACATTCTACATACTGTGTCTTAAGAATGCTAATGCTTAGGCGTTCGGTTGCTGAGACTTTCACAAGGGGCTGGTCACAAGACTAGGGGCGCGATTGATAGTCACCGGAAGTTCAGTGATTTGCCCAGGGCCTCCGCACGTGTTACCGATGTCAGGGGGTTGAGTGGCACTGAATCATGGAAACTAGGCTCACTAGTTCGGCAGGACAGAATCCAACGTCCGTATCCAGTTTGCAATCAGGTAACCGAGTCGATGGAACAGAAAAAAAGTAGGCCATTCGATAATAGCATCAGTCTTGGAAGGAGTTACTGGGTTGTGCTCATGCAACATGAAGAGCCAGTGAATCGCCTCCAAGCTTGAGAGAAGATACTCAAGAGGTTGGAAAGTTTCTGCCCGTAATGCAGAAAGGTTGCTGTTGTCGTCAAATGATCGAGAGGTTGATTGGGCAGGAGTTATCGATGTCGCATGCCGTTAGCAATGGAGTGCGGATTCTTTCGTATGCCGCTGTTGTCGAGTCGTGGGTCTGAGCACTCACAGCAGCCGTGTATCGTGATCTTTACAAGCTTGCACATTTTCAATCGCATCTCAGTCAGCACAAATGGTTGTTCAACAAGGTACTTATGTGTCAGTTAGTCGACCTTTATCACTACAGTAGTCACTGTGATCGTCTAGAGGGTCCCTAACAACCTGACGGGCATCCTGATATGGGGGCGGGCGCTCTGTGTGTAACAGGCAGGCGATTCGGCAGACATGTAACACACCTTGTTACGGAGCAAACTTCGAGGGTTTTTGAGGCTTGCTCTCCGATGCCACTTTCAAACGGGCAGGGAAGCCTTATAGAGTGATCCTCCGTAACTGTTCCCAAAGCCGCAGCTTGGAAGTCAAAGAGGGCGTCGGGGGACCGGTCCCCCAGGGCGACAATCAGAGAACAAGTATCATCTGTTTGTCGCTGCGATTCTGGACCACGTGCCTTTTGTGAGCGACTGCAAATGTGAAACGACGGGCATCTGGTCGCCCAGGGGACCGGTCCCTGGACGCCCTCTTAAAGGGACAGCCTCTTTCAAATGAGCAGCAAAAGGATGCCGATGGCCAAAAGGCGCGTGTTTTGACTTTCCAATGAGAGGTCAATCAGCTACGAACATGCTCGTCGGGTCCTCATCGGCCCTTTGGATTTGATCAGATCAGGTGCAGGGTGAGATATAAGGAAGTCCAGCTAAACTGGCAGTGCCCAATGAAGTGCTTTGTGCAGTTCACTATAGACTGCAGGTCGTGATCACTCTTGGTCAGTTAATCGACTTGATTTCGCCTGCCGGAGTCTGCAGTTTCGCTTCAACCTCCTCTGCTTTTAGCCTGCAACCTCTTGAGCAAAACACTGCTTTTCTTCAGAAGAATCTGGAAGGTGGCACAACGAGGGTTAGTTCAACCACAGCAACCAAACCCTGAAGGTCCACAACATCCCCAAGGGCACAACGTGGGTTAGTCTAACCACATTACCCAAACCCTGCAGGTCCGTAACATCCCTGAGGGCACAATGCGGGTTAGTGTAACCACAGTCTCAAACCCTGCAGGTCCATAACATTTGTGAGGGTCACCACCCGGGTTATTCTAACCACAGTTTCCAAACCTTGCAGGTCCACAACATCCCCGAGGGCCTCGCTGTGAGCATGGTGCTGTCGTCCAAAGGCGTCAGTGCAAAGCGGGCCATGCTCTGGAGCATTATAACCAGCCTCCCGCAGCCCCTGGTCGCAGTTCCCGCCTACATGTTTGCCGAGACATTCACCAAGTTCCTGCCGCTGTGTATGGGGTTCGCGGCCGGGTGCATGATTTGGATGGTCTTTGCAGAGCTGCTCCCTGATGGCTTGGAGGTAAACAGTCACCCTTTTGATTCTGTTCTCTGAAGTTTCGCTTTTGTGGCTTGGTTCCTCCATCTATGTCTCGTCTTGACACCGTCTTCGATGCTTCCCTTCGTTTCAGAAGTTGTCTCTTCTCTTCGTCGGTTGTTCTACTTTGTGACGGGTACCCGGAGAGGGAGCCTCTGCAGTGTCGTTTTTGTTTTCTTCTTTTCGTCGCTTGTAGGCTGGAGATGTAAGCACTTGCTCTCTTGACTCTCATCTTATTGCTCCAACTCAAAGTGCACTAAACTCTTGGGTAAGCACAGCTAGAGGAGTCTTTCTCGTGTGTTTCCGTCCAGAGCTTGGAGTTGTGCAAAAAACAAGTATGTCCCGAGTTCAAAGAGCTGGTTCAAGTTTTTTAACCGCTCGTTTCTGGTCGAGCCAGTAAACATCGTCTTCCGTTCGCGTCGGCAAGACGGGGGTTTGAGCTTGAGAGCTCTTAAAAGACAAGTGGATCTAGTTTTCTGGTGTTCAGGATATGCAGTAAACAACCTGTGAGCTACTTTTGTTTTGCAAAACAGGCAGGGGGTTTGCTACCTCGTTCTGCAGACTCCGCCGCTGCCAAAACGTAAGGTTTTGAGCTCATTGCTTCTGAACAGATGCGAACGCACGTATTTGTGAGCCCCAGGTTTAGAACCGGGAGGTTTTTACGTCCACAAGAAGTCCACACGAAGGTTTTCAACCCATAAACAAAGGGTAACGAGAAGACTGTCCGATTACGCGCTTGCTAGGAATGACAACTGGCCTTTCTAAGACTGGCCTTCAGCAAGAGGGCCTCATCCCATGTCTAAATCACCTCTGATTCCACTTTCTGCCCTGTTGCGCTTCAATCCTTCACCCTCTGTGTTGTTGTTTTTACACTCCTGACTAGGTTGAGAAATAAAAGGCCTCCCTACACGGCTTCCTTGATCCGTTCATCTTTGGCCCCTACAGGAGACCAGCCCCACTGCTATCGCGGCCTCGGCAACGATCTCCATTGCCTTTATGGAGGCGCTCAGCGCAGGCATGCGAAACATGGAGCAAGGCTCAGCCGTCCACGGGCGCTCCCCTTCCACCCCCCTCCTCTGGTCGCTCCTCTTCGGCGTGGGGCCTGCTTTCGGGGGCCTTCTTGTTGTGCTGGCGCAAAGAGTGATGCGGTTCTCACAGGCGTTTATGATGGGGGGGGCGGCGGGCCTTATGCTCGCACTTGGGGCCGTCCGGCCTTTTCAGTTGCTATGGGGTTCTGGACTCCCCTCAGTGACCGTTGCGATCTTTTTTGGGATGGGGGCCGTCATGTTTGGGGTAGTTGGACATTGGGTTGTTGGACGCGCTGCTCATAAGAAGACAGATGAGGACCTGGAAGTGCTGAAAAGCGATGGAAAAACTTTGGACACGCCGGTATCCAAGGCGGCGATGCTAGGGGTGACGGCTATTCTTCTCCATGCGTGGGTAGAGGGTTTGGTGCTCGGGGTTGCGGCCCTCCTGGCAGAGGGCAACATCGGCTTACACATGCTCGCTCCGGTGGTGCTGCATAGTTTGCCGCGGGGGGCAGCTATTGCAGCGATAGTCAGTGCTCTTAGCAAGAGTTATCGAGGAGCTCTTCTAAGCGCCGCATTGTCGGGTTTTGCGGGGCCTGCAGGAGCGGTTACGGCTTTGGTTATGGGGTTGCGTCACTTTCAATCGCTAGACGGTATGATCGTGCTCTCAAGCGGAGGATTGGTGTTGGCGGCATGGAAGTATCTGCTGCCCAGAGCCTGGAGGTTAGATACGAGAAGAACGTTGATGGGGCTCTTAATAGGAGCAGTTTTTGGTGTGATGAGTTTTTTTGGCACGCATGTATTATGTTTATATACGTTTCTATGTGTTGCTGCTCCAGATGCAGTGACGTAAGCGCGGCTTGTTTAGGAACTCTCTTGCTTTTACAAGTTCGTCAAATAAAGTGTTTGAGGCAACCAGAGGCGAAGACGCTCATTGGTCCACGTACTGATTGCTTGAAGTATATTGTATTGACATTGGTCCACAATCTTATATTAACGTATTGCCAAATGGAGCTATCGCGGGTTGGTGAATCAGTGGCCAAATCATCAGGACCGGCACTTCGCGCAACACTTAGTGCCATGCAGTTGAATCTTCGAACGGCGAGTGGTCGCATTCCAACAGACAATCTAGATTCCTTCAATGTCCTACATTTGCGGATATTGCCTGAAAACTGCCTTGCGCTACATGTCTCTACATTAAGTGGCATGCATTCAGAATTTGTGTTCTTTGCGTGTGACAGAGTTGTTATCAGGCTCTTAAGTGCACATGGGGCTATCTCAGAGACACGTGTAGATCATTTTTGGGGACACGTCTGCATTTCCAGAGACTGGGGTGCATGACTGTAGTGAGAGTCAATTAGCATAGAAGTTTACCCGTTTAGACTCAGCGCCTGCGCAATGATTTGTTATCGAAGACGAATGAATCCGAGATGAAAGTCGGTGTCGGGAGCAAAGTGTACAATACTCAACATTCCGTGCCCATTGCTGTGGACATCTTCCTTCCGTGTAATTGTCCGGCATATAGCGATCTCAGAACTTCGACTTTCCTTAATCCCATATTTGCTGGCAAGGACCGACTGAAAGCTTAAACAGCTTTCTATTTTGGCCGGACAAGTCTGTAAGCTATAGGCAAGATTCTCCATCTTAGCACCCAAAGACGAGCTACTTTGCAAGGACCGTTTAATAGATGGTTTCGTCGACTAAGCCGATCACGTGCGGCTCCAAACTGGCGTAAATAAAACAACAACAATACGTTATCGAAAAGCTTTGGTCATCCTGCAAATGCACAATTAGAAACCCATAAGCTTCGGCTAGTGGCCCTGACATTTAGTATGACTGTCAGGAGGCTGGGCGCCTGCAAAGAAAAGAAGAAGGAAGTCCATTAGATGATTTTCAAATCTGTTCTGATAAATTCTGATAAGTCTGATAAGTCTGATTCTGATAATTCTGATAAGTCTGATAGACACGACATGACTAAAACTCGCCCTTATGGCACAGCCATTGGTTGAGTAGGCTGTCTATCTAGCTCTATGGCATGAAGTAGACTGCTACCATACTTGCTGCCTAAAAGTATGTTCCTCACCGTCTTATGACAGGTTGAATAAGTAGTATACCGTAGTGCTCCTTGGAAACGCACACGTACCTGATCTTGCCTGATCTAGCGCTTGACACTAGTCCGCGTTATAAGAGGCCGGAACATCTCTTTACGGCATGGTGGTCTCTTGGCTTTCACAAGTGCTCCTTGGAAACGCACACGTACCTAATCTTACCTAATCTAGCGCTTGACATTAGTCCGCGTCATAAGGGCCGGAAAATCTAGCATGATGGTCTCCCGGCTTTCAAAGTGGGTTTCTCACGAGCAAATCTGCCCATCATCCTCTTGCGGAGAGCTTCACGTCTTAACTTTCCTGCGTACAAAAATCATCGGCGTCGAGCTGTTCCCGCTGGGTTTAGAGGCACTCGGCATCGACACTAGTGGGGCCGTGCTTTTTGGAGGTGCCGCCCGGAACCACCTGTACAGACGGGTGTGGCCGGTGTAAAGGTACAAGATTGAGAACAAGAGCTGCCGGATCTTCTGCTTTGCGTTCCATTCGTTTTCGTATAAACGGGGTGACGCTTAAGATGCAAGTACGCTGGACCTACAAGCGGAAGCAGTAATTGGAGAATCATCGAAGCCAAGAGCGACACTGGTGTTTTTGGGGAAAGGGTTGTCTCGGTGACCTAGCGTCGCTCTTTTCTTTTTGTATTTACATGCAATCCGAAAACCAAGGTGGCGCGAAGCAATGTCAGGTCATCAACTGCAAGGCACCTCCTCCGGCCAAACTTCCAGGGGGAACACCGAGACAAGAACATTTTTAAAGTTCGAGCAAGGGAATGTGTATCGCAGCGACAGGAGAGGTTACGAAGTGTGGGAACGTGCAATCAAAGTTTCCAACAAGCTTTACTTTCAGCTTCCGAACGGTTCAAAGAACGACTGAACAAACTTAAGTGTTACCTACCCCGGAGTCCGGCCTCCTCGCCTTCTGTTCCTAGCAGCTCAAATGGAAGCCGGGCAGCAAAATGCGTTCTCCGAGTGATCAGAATCGCAAGCATGGCTGCAGCTCCCACCACAAATCCTCCAACCGCGGAGACAAAAGGAACGACCCACTGCAAAAGAGCCGAAAATGTAGTGGTTGATAACCGAAGAGGTCTCCCTTTTTGCAGATCAAAACGGATTGCCATTGGGAGCAAAGCATAGGTTTCAATTTGGAAACTAGAGTAAAACTTGTACAGCTCTAAACAGGTCCTCTAGATGTGACACTTGCCTATTAGGAACGTATCACACTCTCAGCGAAACTGGAAGACCTGAGCCCCTCAGATCGAAAACTTTAAAAGCCTCTGTCTTGAAGCATACATATAGCAGCAAACCGCTGGGACTCAAAAACTTCTCGCTTTTGGATCCGACCTATGCAGCTTCGTAGAGTTCTCCAGAGTTCTCGGCTTGAACAAGAGAACATAGCGTCGTCACATTCACCTTGTTAATGTCAAGGATGTACCTGTTCGTGTACCTTTGGAGCCTGCATCGGTTAGAACCACGAGTCAAAACCGAACTCTTAACCCTCGTTAACCTTGTGCAGAACATGCTCTTTCAGAAACCCCTAAACCCGCTGACAAAAGCGGTGGGCCACGGGATCCCCTTTTGAGAGGGGGCCGCTTTACCTGCTCAAGTGTAGCGCTGCCCCCTGAAGCGATGGCTGACTTTGCTCCGGGGCGGACTGACCTCATGCTTGCCGCTTGCAAGTCTGCTGCAGAGGGCGCCCAAAAAGGAAGGGCTTTGGAAGTTCGTCATCTCCATTCCGAGGTAATCATGGTGTTGACAAAACTGAGGCATATTGGTGGGGGTGGGGAAAGTATGGGGTGGGAAAGCGGGTAGATATCGGACCCGATTATATACAAAGTTTGGGAAAAAAGCCAACGCTTCTCAACGGTGACTTTCTGAACTCCAAAATCGCAGGCTGGGTGACGTGGACTGGTCGAGCCCTCTCTGATTCTCAAAAGCAACTTGGTTCAACAATCTCGTCTCTTGAGGGACCCCCGAGCTTTCGCATGCTTTTGGGGCCAGCTACCTGAACGGAGCTTTCGGCCCCTGGTCGATCAGATGGTTAGTCATCAAGACAAGCTCTCTTACGGATTTAGTAGCCCACTGCATTGTCCCGCATCCTTTAGAGCAGCCCCAGATCCACTCACTCAGAAGTCCTTTGACTCTCACTGGAAAAAGTTCTACCCGTCAACACGACCCTCACTCTCCCATCTCGATCCACCGTCGTCTGACTCTACTCAGTCAACCGCTCCTCCTCAACATCTCATCTTTCTATTATTGTGTTAACCCGGATTTCACCTTCACACACTTGTGGAAGAGACTATAGCTTATCTCCCTTCTCGACCCAAATGCATGGCCCCCTTACCTGGCTCCACCGCCTCCCAATAAGGATACACGACAACCGTCGCTTTTCCTACGATCCCCTCGCTAAGCTTCGACCCCGTCAGCGTGACATCGGTCAGCGGGATCTCGGTGTAGTAATACTTGTCCTCACGCATGAATGTACGAGCAGCAGGTCCAGTATTGTAGGGGAACTCTTTAGAGACTTCCGTCACGAAGGAGTCGTTGAAGTAGAACTGTCCAATGTGAACCACGTGGCTCTCCTCATAGGCGGACACCGGGTTGGACCAGGTCCTCTGGTAGGGCACGTGGATCTGAGAGGGGAAAGGGTGACCTCAGCAAGATGCGTGTCCCCTGACTGGAAAGAGGTCTGCCGAAAGGCGCGTCTGACTTAAGGAAAGATTCTGGTTCGATCAGGTCCTAAGATAGGGCACGTGAATCTGTACTTGGGGGATCCCGTTGGTCAGGGGTATGGGTTTTCTTTGATCAATGCTTCGTAGACTTCTTTGAAGAAGGAAGGAGGAAATAGACTGGTCCACAACATGTACACCAATCTTTCTTAGTCAGAGGCTTGGAAATCCATGATCAGCTCTGATTACTTAGGGATCAACTTGTGAGACTCTAGGTGGGGTTCAAAGGAATGTTTGGCGTAATGGTCTTCTGCTCCGCCACTTCCTGCTCTCTTGTTGCCAAGGAAGTTTGCAAAAGTCTCAAAGCTTCAACCAAGAAGGCAAAAGACTCTAGGTTCTTTCCGTCCCATATACTCAGAGATTGGATCTTTTGATAGGTTCAGCTATGGAGAAGCAGATGGGATTATGATGTCTAACAGCTAGTACGGCTTAAACTCAACCTGCCTTTGGCCATAAGCCTTGGGGGGGGGTGGAGGGGAAAGACTATGGTGGTACTGGATCATCAGTTAGCCTCAGACCAAGCGCAAAGCGGTATTCAGACTCAGGGGACAAAGAAACAAGATCAGAGTACAGAATAGTTAATAAAGTGATAAGTTGGAAAAGAAAGATATGGAGAGGTTACCTTGGTATGAATGTGTGTCAATCTATCGTCATACCACCCGGGCATGATTGTCCGAAAAGTTGCCACCCCATTTTCGTCTGTGACCAAAGTTCCCCTCAGGAAAGTGGTGTTGTCGGACGCTTGGAAGTGCCCCAGGTAATTGACGTCCGGCGCTCCAACCTCCTCAACCGACTCTTCAGCAAAAAGACCGGCAGTGTACCCGGAGTAGACCCCCAGGGCGTCGCAGTGCCAAATATCAATGAAGACATTTGCCAGGGGGGAGCAGTTAGAGTAGTCAATCACGGTGACTGAGAATTGCAGGGGGATCCCAGTGAGCCCCTCGCTGATGTCATCGCGCATCAGCCGGTAGTCCAAATAGAAGGGGCCTTCCACCAGTTCGGGGGTCAGGAGGCAGGGCAAGT